ATTATTTGCACGTGGTAAATACGCTTTAGTCAGAAGCGTTACATGTGAGCTAATTTTCTCATGAAACTTCGATACAATTTTTGGTGAAACTGTACGTATATTAGCAACTACGAGTATACGTTAGGTTCGAATTTATACTGCTTATGTACTCAACTGAAATTCTAATTTCGTGTAAGAAAATATGTCCATAGTGGAGTCACGCCTGTACGGTGTAAAATGCTTTCGACCAATATCAAAGCGATATCAGGGTAAGAGAGAATATCCTATTTGATACATGCTAATACACTTTTCGGGCTGAAACTTAGTATATGGGACGCCGCCTCTCGAAAAACAGAAAATTCTGTAATTTTAAGTGTCCATAACTTTTGACTCCTTCATTTCCTCAAAATAATATTTGTATATATTTGGACTCCCTGTCACCTTTTTTTTTTTTTTAACGTTGGGAAATGCATTTACGCACGACGTGTGGGACTCACCGGCGTAATACAGTGCGCATTCAACTACGACGCCCCGACGGCAGGTCTGCCGAAGCAGACCACCACAACCATGGGGTTGCTCCACAGTCCACTCTGCTATCAGAGAAGTACCAGGAGCAACCCGCATGGTACACCGCCCTCCGAAGAGGGCCACCTCCCACCGCCCACCGAAGTGGGCAACCTCCCTGTGCGTTTCTTAGCTTCGCGCCCGGTTGGATTGCCGGGCACTACTGAGCCCCCCCACCACGACAAGGTGAACGCATGTTGGGGGGGGGGGGGACTCCCTGTCACCTCCTCTATCCAAAAATACCACTTTTTCCTCAAGTGCTAGTTTTCGATATTTAAAAAATATCCGGTTTATATTAATATAAATAAACTGATACCAAGGTTACAAAAACTTTTAGCAGCAGTCCAAATTGGAGCATAGAAACTGAAGCAAAATTATCTCACTCAAATAGGGTTCGTAGAAATAATCGGCGATTTATCCACGCCAGCGAATCACGTTCCCGCGATGATCCCGATCCTTCCGGAGGGTCGCGATTGTGGAACAAGCAATGCTCATAAATTCTTTCAACGACTGACATTTGAAGGGTTCACATCTACATCACATCGAAGTGGGTGCCATGGTATTCGATGTTAGCACATTCGTGCCCAAGCATGTGGCGGGACAACACGCACCTGTCAAACTCTCCGCCGCCATCTTGCCAGTTTTGACGTTTGTTTTTCGGGTGTTCGGATACTTGTACCGTGATTCGTGTTGACAATGTTTCTTGAGTGGTGTGTGTAGTGAAGGTTGTGCTGTGTGTGTTTTATTGTAAGTTTTATTTTGTTTCGATGTTCATTGCAGTATTTTATGAACAAAATCAGTAGGTACGTAAATTTGTAGGTAGTAAATCGTATGTTATCAATATAAAACCATAGCTATCTAAATTAATACTTGATTATCGTATCAAATTCAAGACTTTTTTCATTCATTTGAACAGTATCATAATATAACTATAATATTTCCATCTAAAATGTAAATATAGGTAATTTTACAAATAAGAGTAAAAAATAGGGCCGCATCTCTTCCAGTATTAGCTTCAAGGTATATCAAGTTCTATATCAACGTATCAAACTCAATTATGTTGTTCTAGACTTAAAAGTTCACTTAACTTTGAAGTTGTTTCCGCGTCTATGTAAAACAGGTTGTACATATCGGTTAAATCACTGATCCAGGGACTTCACCAACCCCCTAGCTCTTTTCCTAGGAAATTCGTACTAAATAGTTCTATTTAACTTCTTAATTACAAAATATTCTCATCAAATTAAAATTTTTGCATTGACTTAAGTATTATAAAGCTATTGATTAGTATTATATACACGCGTGAAGCACTTAATCGAGTAATCATACGCCAAAATGTCTTACATCATTTTGGAAAAGAGCTGATACTCTGACATTGCTAGACCGATACTAACCAGACAAAGCTAAGAACCACCGCAAGGAAACTGGCTTTCAAATGATAAAAACCGCATCGAAATCGGTCCATCCGTTTGAGAGCTACGATGCCACAGACAAACATCGACGTCAAACTTATTACACCCCTCTTTTTGCGTCGGGGGTTAAAAAATAGTTTTGTTACTCTAACGAATATTTGTCGTGACGCTTAATGTTAATTCCTTACAATTAAAAATATAAATTATTACCTTACAAATAAAAAGTTTTGTAAGTTAGCGTAATCTATGATGAAAGTCATCTTTTGTACTCTAATAATTGAAAAGGATAAACATATTCAAAATACGGCGGGTTTTACAATACAACAGATTAAAAATAAATACTTGTAGTAAGTACATTATACAAATTAAATTTTAATTCTAAGAAACATCTTGAACAAGCTTTTAGGAAATTTGCAAAATTTCTATAGTGTAATATTTTTATAATTTTATTTGAAAATTGTGATTGTTAAAATAGTATTTTAATTGCGATATTGTTGTCATTTTCTAACAAAATATTCTTTTTATTGAATATTACGTCGCTTTTCATTGCACTTGTTAACGAATAAAATAAATTCAAAAACATTTCTAATTATTGAAAATAAAATACGCAAAGATGTAGATAGCCTTTGTTTTTAAGAATTTTACATAAAATTTAGTTAAAAATCGGTTCAGTACTTTTTGCGTGAAACGCACACATCGATTTCGCTAAGTTACTGTTTTATTATATGTTATCGAGTTATGTATATCGCGGATTACTTGAGAATCCTATAACAGATTGGCTAGTCAATTTTATTATACTTAATTACTAGTTTTTGCTCTCGAGTTCACTCGAGTAAGTTATCGATAAAAGTAGCATGTGTGTTATAAGCTATCTCTGTTCTAAACAATCTAACATTAAAACGTTAAGTAAATCGCGAAAATTTATCAGATTCTCTCACTCTCTCACTCACTCACTCACTCACTCACTCAATCAATCACACATCCGCATTTATAATAAAAGTGCAATAAATAAATTATGACACGTAACATCCTTGTATCATCCTTAACTATGACAGATCGGGCAATATGCGCCATTTATTAAATTACTTCTCTATTCATAGACTGCAGTGTCAAGGGCGAAGGCTAATGGACTGAGATTTTCCAGTCAATATCTTATTTCACTAGTAGTTTATAGTCTATGATTTGTTTATGTTTTTGAAATTTAATCAGATGTTCTAACGATCTCAAAGCAATATTAATTACATTGTAATTATATGTACAACTAGCGATTCACACTCGCTTCGCTTTGGTTCGTCTCTAGGTGACATAACTTTTTTATTTATGAACCGATTGAAATAAAACAAATACTAAATATTAAGGGTACCCAAATCGTTTAAACGGTCCCTGAGATTAGCGCGCACAAACGCACTGAGAAAGAGACAAAAGTTCTAAAAAACATTTTTTTGGGGTCTTTTGTGTTAATAAAGACCCCCGACAGACAGCGATCAGTTACATTTTTATTATATGTAGGTATAGATTATAACTACATACATATAATCTACATTACCAAATTCGTAAGCTATATACATATAATTCAAAAAGAAATTAAACTGCAGTCATTGCCTAAGATTATAAATAACTAAGTAAATAAAAATAGTCCAAACAGAAAATATTTCGGGTAAAGAGAAAAAATAAATAATTATTAAATAAAAAATGCCAATAACGTTGTTAAATAATGATTTTTTCTTAATTTTCCAAAGAAGACAAGACTTTCTCCTTAATCTTCTGTATTAACGCTTATAGCACACTTTACACCGATTTTGTTCAATTTCATTAAACGCGTGTATCTCCTGTTATTAATTTATGAGCCTATTGATGTCACTAAAATAAAACAAACGTTTTTTAGTACAGAATACACAACCATAATCTTATAGCATGTTAGAGCATAAGCACTTCCGTATTCGTCCAATGGTCTGTTTGCATTCACTTTAGAAATCAACGCTCGTTATTCAATTAGTGTTCTTGAATTGATTTTGTGATCATTTTATTTGAAACTAGCCTTTACTTGCTGTTTCGCGTTCATATTTTAAATTTTTAAATTTCATTCCAAAAATAGCTTTATGTAGTTTAGCAAATGATCAAATAACACCCGCATCCCAATCAAAGGAGAGGAGTGCAGACAATATTACATTTTAGCGAACTATTGACACAATAATGCAGGGAATGGAGTGCTGCATCTGAAACTCCCTAATGTAAACTGAATCGGTTGAAGTTCTAGTTAAATAAATTTATATGAAATAGTAGTATTTAAATTAACGACACGTTTGGCTTAGTTTGAGTGTTGTAGTGACCCTACTTTCGGTGCCAGCGGTCGTGGGTTCAAGTCCTGTTGGGAGCATTCATTTGTGTGATGAGCACGAATGCTTGTACTCCAGTCATGGGTGTTTATACTTATAATATGTATGTATTTAAATTTATTTATTATGTGTATCAATTATCTGGTTTTCGTAACACAAGCCTCGCAGCTTACCATGGAACTAAATGGCGCTCATAGAGTATATTGCTACATATATAAAATGGCGCTGTATATTAATCTTCCAAGATATTTATAAATTTATTATTTAGGAACATTTTGCCAAAGAAATTTCCGTTGCCTTCTTTTCCACTTAGCAAACGATCGGCATGTTTGTTATCTGCTGGAATATTATTCAGAAGAAATAGTCTCTATTTGTATCTCATACAATTCTTGATAAAAGAAACCGTTTAAGTTATGAAATGTACTTACCATATTTATAATAAGTCCAACATTTTAATAATATTATATACAAATAAATAATATTATAGATATTTTATTTTATAAGTAAGTAAATAATCATAATCGATCTATTATTAAAACCGTTAATACTTTGTTTCAGATAGAGACAATAAAAGTTACTTATCTAGTCGACATACTTTTTAAAAATGTTAGTACAGTTTCCTTGACTGTTAAATCGTTAGCTGGTGAGGGAAACGTAGAGAGATTGAAAAGTCGTGAGAGTTTCAGAAAGAGTTAAAGAAAAAGTGGCAGAGATGGACACGAAAAATGATGCCCGTGGAGATGACATCGAACTGACTGTTCAAGGAGCCAGTAGTAAACCTAGGTAAGATTAAAACAAAAATCTTGCTTTAAAGTAAATCAATATTTAAAACTATTTCTTAATTATACTTATTTTAAAATTGGCTTATTTCTAGCCATAATTATCCTTCCTTATTTATCGACTCATCGTCACTTTAATAAAGAGCTCTTAGAACTTCAGTTTTTGGAGGCATATAGTTTACATATATTATTTCAGCGTGGTGGCAACCAAATCCGATTTGCCTGAGCGAGGGTCTTGGGCCAGTAAGCTAGATTTCATCCTCTCAGTGGTAGGTCTAGCTATTGGTCTCGGCAATGTATGGCGTTTCCCTTACCTGTGCTACAAAAATGGTGGTGGAGCCTTCCTCATCCCTTACTTCCTCACCCTGTTCCTTGCTGGTATCCCAATGTTCTTTATGGAACTAGCCATGGGACAAATGCTTACAATCGGCGGCTTGGGAGTATTTAAAATTGCACCGATTTTCAAAGGTATGTTCATGTGTCAAATAAAGATTAGAAAAAAGATAAAACTTTGAAATATTTTCGCATTCAATTGCTTTTATAATTTTAACAATTCGTTCTATAATTTTAATAGTAATTTATTAATTATTATTAGTAGCATTATTTTGTCCTAAAATTAAGAATTATGGCTTACAATGGAACCCCTCTATTGTTTGATCTCTTTGGAAAATAAATGACTTTAATTATGTAAACGAGCAGGCTTAACAACAAACCATTTGAGAATTTGATTGAGTTATATTTTTCATTTAATTTATTTTGGCAATCAATTATAATAATTGTTAAATGCATCGATCAAAAAAGTACTAGATACACAATCAGCGATAAAAAATGTCTTCATAGAACGAGCGCTCATTTGAACATTTGAGCGCGCTTTTAATTCTTTTTTTCGTGAAAATAACTTTAAGCATTGTATTTAAAGGTTCAATCTACATTGTAGTATATTTATTCCAACTAGATCTACAATAATCACCTAAACACAATTGGTGACAGTTTTAAGAGAACTTTTACATAGGATTGTGTATCTAGTATTTTTTTAATCGACGCGACGGTTAAATGCTATAAAATTAAATATAACAAATATGCTATTCATTTTTCATTAAGGTATTGGTTATGCAGCCGCTGTTATGTCTTGTTGGATGAACGTATACTATATTGTTATTCTTGCTTGGGCCATCTTCTACTTCTTCATGTCTATGAGATCAGGTAAGTTATTTCTAATAGGTATATCTATACTTTTAATAAAATACTTTTGCTTTGATAAAATGACTTAAATTTAAAAATGAATTAAAAAACAGATTGTGTAAGTTAAATTATACCTATACTAATATGACGCATAGTTTGTTTGTTTGTTTGTTTGAACGCGCTAATTTTAGGAACTACTAATCAAATTTAATTATTTTTGGATTAGATAGCACGTTTATTGAGGAAGGTTATAGGCTATATATCATATAATATATGGTCTATCTATCAATACTAACCGTCAAAACGTATGTAAGGTCGAACCCGAGCGAAGCGCTAATATCTGATAAAATGAAAACGATATGAAACGATCACAATTTGAACAGAAAATATGTAAATGTGGTGATTGTGGTTTCACAGATGTGCCGTGGCGTACATGTGACAATTATTGGAATACGGAAACCTGTGTGAATCCCTACGACAGGAAAAATCTTACTTGCTGGTCTAATATGGATATGACTACTCTATGTACAATTAATGGAAAAAATTTCAGTAAAGCCATTCTCTCCGACCCTGTTAAAGAATTTTGGGAGTGAGTAGTATTTTATTTTGTCTTCTATTCCTGGTATGTTTGAGTCTTGGAGGAAATGTAACTTGAAATATTCTATTAAAAACATTTTACAGTGAGTGAGTATAGGCCAATATCGTTTTTATCGTATTACACAAACACTCACTGTGAGATTGTATCTACAATCATATTAAACTTGTACTTTTACTATTAATAATTAACTAATCAGTGTATACTGTTTAACGCGCATCTTAAATATTTAAACGGAGTGTGTATTCATTCGTTAATAGGACGAATAAAAAATAATTATTCGTCCTTTATCAAAAATATAAATGATGAGAAAGGACGAATAGACTAATATATAAGTAAATAGAATAAGTATCTCAGTTTAACTCGGTAGGTTAAGGGTTTTTTTTGCATACAGAAACTCCTGCACTTAAAAATCACTTATTTTACATTGAAAAACAAAAAAAGTGGTAAATATTCGTACAAACCGCCAATAGTCGGACGAATAATATATTTTTTATTCATCCGATTATCGGACGAATAGCAAAAGCCTCTTTTAATTATTTATTATTCGTTCGAATAATTATTTTTTATTCGTCCTTATTTTAAGTACAAATAGCAACAACCATATTTAAATTACAATATTTGTGTTTGAATAAAATAATACTATTTCAGACGTCGTGCTCTCCAAATCTCAAGCGGTATTGAACATATAGGAAATATCCGTTGGGAACTCGCGGGCACATTGCTTTTGGTGTGGATACTTTGCTATTTCTGTATCTGGAAGGGAGTAAGATGGACTGGCAAAGTGGTTTATTTTACTGCTCTGTTCCCTTACTTTTTACTCACCGTTTTGCTTATTAGAGGTAAGTTATAATAAAATTATTGTAATGTAACAATATCAATTATATTAATACCAGAAGGAAATACTTTCTTAGTGATTATTGTGGAGAATCTTTACGTTTGAATAACAGGAAACCTTAAAAAACCTTCTGTTGAAAATAATTTGATCACTTCTAGGTTATTACAATTTTTAATATTTTTATCTGCCTGTCTGTTTGTTGCGACTTATCTCCAAAACAGCTGGACAGATTTTGACGAGACTCTTACTGGCAGATAGCTAATGTTATTTTTATAATTTAATTTAGAAAAATGTTTCTCAGGAGTAAGATTTTTTCTTTTCATGCTATTAATGGATAAGATGGAAAAAAATCATAATGAATTCTTTTGTAATAAAATTCATATATTTTATTATGTCGCTATGAAATTACAAGTTCACTATTTAATTCTACTATTATATATTATTAGTATAAGATATAGTGAAGGTTTTATTCTCATCAGGCGTAACTCTACCCGGAGCAATCGAAGGCATCAAGTTCTACGTGATGCCAAACATGTCGAAACTACTCGAATCCGAAGTATGGATTGATGCTGTCACTCAGATTTTCTTCTCTTATGGTCTTGGATTGGGAACTTTAGTGGCTTTAGGAAGTTACAATAAATTTACTAACAATGTGTATAAGTGAGTTATATTTTTTTTCTTTTTTATACTGATATAAGAGTTCTAAATTTTGCCGATGATGATGAATGCCGGTGTATAGGCAGTGGTAGCGTCGTGGCTAGAGCTCGCTTTGGAAATCGAGTGAAGCGGGTTCAAATCCCAGGTCTCGAACCTCTGATATTTACATGTGCGAATCATTCACAACATGATTACCACTTGTCTTACGGCGAAGGAAGACATCGTGACGAAACCTACATATCTTAGAGAACCTAGCAAGTTTTTAAAAGACATGTGAATTTCGCCAACCCGCACTTGGCCAGCGTGGTGGACTATGGTTTCCCATACAAATACAGTTTTTGGCAATGCACTACTTTAAAAGACTAAAAATTTATGTATATAAGTAAAATGTATTTAAATTTCCTCCAGGGATGCTTTGATAGTGTGCTCAGTAAACTCTAGTACATCCATGTTTGCTGGTTTCGTCATATTCTCTGTCGTCGGCTTCATGGCTCACGAGCAGCAACGACCTGTTGCAGAAGTAGCAGCTTCAGGTAACCTAACTATCATCTGCTAAATAAACAGTACTAATGTAAATTTTTAAAGCCTCTATCTGATGTAATGGATGGAATAACACTTGTTCGAAATTATATAAACTCATTATATGAAATTTTTGTTTAAGTTATATAACTTGTTTGGTTGGTAAGTTATATCTGATATCATTATTAAAAATTATTTTAACAGAAATGTTTTAAGGTAACTACACAAAATTCAATTTGTAAAAATTCTCGTACCTTGAATACCTTTTATCTTTATTTGCAATGTTAATCAATACACAATTGTAATAAATTTTGTTTTTACAGGTCCTGGCTTAGCTTTCCTTGCTTATCCATCAGCAGTTCTCCAACTGCCTGGAGCTCCTCTCTGGTCCTGTCTGTTCTTCTTCATGCTGCTTCTCATCGGTTTAGACAGCCAGTTCTGTACTATGGAAGGCTTCATCACTGCCGTTATTGACGAGTGGCCTAAATTACTCAGGAGGAGAAAGGAAATATTCATCGCTATTACTTGCGTTATATCATATTTGGTGGGGCTGTCGTGTATTTCTGAGGTAAGTGTAATAGAAAAAAATGTATGGTTTTTTTAAGTTACATAGTAACTAATTAGTTGAAATTAGTTGGAATAAAGCTTACATCGTCGTGATAGAGTGTGTAAGTGATCCTACGACGCCAAATTAAGACGGGGGAGGTTCCGTTGGGTTTTAGTGGGTAGTACTGGTTTTTCTAGTCTGTGATTCCCACATAACTACCTGCGGTAGATGGTACGCGTAAATCTTAAACAATATAACTGATTTATAGTATATGTTATATAGTAATATATAAAGAAACTATTTAAAAATAATAAACATTACAGTTGTTTATTGTATGTACAAATATATAGAAATAAAATTTGCTCCATAGGGTGGTATGTACGTCTTCCAAATCTTGGACTCCTATGCTGTCTCCGGGTTCTGTCTGTTATTCCTGATCTTCTTTGAGTGCGTCTCCATCTCCTGGGCCTTCGGTGTCAACCGCTTTTATGATGGAATAAAGGAGATGATCGGCTATTATCCTACTATTTGGTGGAAGTTCTGTTGGGTTGGATTTACGCCGGCTATATGTATTGTAAGTAAAAAACAATATAATTTTTACTGACCGACTTTAAAAAAGAAAAGAAAAAAAAGTATAGATAAGATAATCAATTTCACTATCCACGCTGTAATATTTATTTTATTATTGGTCCGTATTTGGGTTACCTAACTCTACGTATAGGTAAGTACATACATAGCAAATGTCAATTTATTCTGCTTAGTAAATTTGAAACAAATGGGGTGTGATGATAATTATGAAGGCTTATATTTGCTTATGCGAACGAAGCCTAAGAATTAGTTATAATATAATACATTTTAAAATTTACACGAATATTTGAAATTTTAAATAAAACTATCTTTTCGGGTTTTTTCGCGGATTTATTTTAATTTTTGGTTCCCGACATTTCGAATGCGCAAGTTAAAACAGTATATTGTTTTTTTTCCAGAGTGTTTTCATCTTCAACCTCGTGCAGTGGAAGCCAATTAAATACATGACCTATGAATATCCGTGGTGGTCACACGCTTTTGGCTGGTTCACTGCCTTATCTTCCATGCTTTGCATCCCTGGATATATGATCTATCTATGGCGTGTCACTCCCGGCACCAAGATGGAGGTAAGATATTAATGTCATACGTTTTTTATTAATTTAAGAAAAAGAAGTGCTTGTAATAAGTCTATTTGGTAATAAGTATAATGGATAAAGCTTCATTACATTTCAATCACTTACGTATTCTTCAGTTATGTTGGCAATTAATAGTGTTTGATATGTAATATAGTTAGATCTTTTAAGCATTTTTTTAAATTTGACATTCTGCTCCAATTTGGCAATTGAAAGTAATTATAAATATTTATTCTAAGATAAAAAAGTTTTAATCCGTTACTCCGTTTGGATAGTATGTATATTCGTCGATAAATATTAGCAAACAAATCTTCTTCGCGGCTTCTGCATTCTACGTGATATTGGTCATTAACAAGAATATTGAATTCTATTAAACTTTAAATTCAGAATATAAGCTGCCTCCATTAGAATTTCCATTAAATTCACTAAGCCATGAAAATGATTAGAAATACAAACACACTCTCTTACTCACAAAATTTCAAATTTATAATACTACTATGTACAAGTATATATATTTTTCACTACAGAAATTCCACACGATCGTACGGATCCCCGAAGACGTTCCCGCGTTGCGTACTAAAATGCAAGCCGAAGAGCAAGCGAAGCATGGGATCCCATGCTCATCTTAAACTTAAATCTCAGTATGAGAATCGAGAACATAAATATTCAATTATATATTATGTAAATGTTAAAGAAATTTATAATAAACCTATTTTAATATGTGACGCACAATTTTAATAGTATCAACGTTTTGTGCCATAATACTTGTAGTGTTAGATGTAAGACCAGTTACTCTTTATAGATTAATTTATCTGTAGTTATGTTAATTTGCTATTAATTGTTATTTTTTGTAATTAATAAGTCTGTTGTAAGGTTTTAGTCTCATTAAATTTTGACTTTGGGTGCGTCGCGACGCGTTCATGTACGTTTTCTACGTTACGATATATTTCATAGGAAATAGATAAATTATAGTTTTTAATTGTCTTCCATGTAGTCAATTTATATAAATATAAATGAATATTTAATCTTTTATAATATATAAACGCTTAAAAACATTCAAAGTTTTAATATTTGCATGTAACATTCTAAACTTGGGGTTAAGATAAAATGACGTTCTATAATCGAAAGCGCTAATAGAAAAGTTAAGCAAAGAAAACTTGCATGGCGATGTCATATGTCATTCTCATAATAAAATATTCTATTAGCTATATCGATTGTAGAAAGCAATTTATCTAAGAGGGCTTTATCGATAATTATTGCCAACCTTAAAGGAGTTTAGATATAAGTCATTGAATGATAATATGTAATGCTTAGATTAGCAATTTTATTATATTTGTGTAAAACGCAATGAGACGCGGTTTTGTGTGTTTAAAATAAAATTAGATGTTTTAAATGTTTAAAGTGCAAATATTTACTGCAATGTATAGATATTTATTGGATTGCTTAATTACCTATATTTTTAGAGTCTCGTATAGACTGATATTATTTTGTTTGGTTCAACAGCTTTAATTATATTTAAGTTTTAGCATTCATTATTTTAAAACACATACTGTGTTCTACTTGAGACCAAAATATAAATTCAAACGTAAATATTATACTGTAGGTTTTATAGCAATTTCAGAATATTGGCCTAAATTTATATTATTTACAATGTATTTTTAAAGTGTTTACCAAAAATATATTTATGTAATCCCGTCTACGTTTTCACTTAATTCTAATGGAATGTGTGGAGTCCCAAAGAAACTAAGCGTGTTCAAATTTTTATCTCTATCTAAATATATAGTCAAATTCTATATCGCTATATATAAGAATAGGTTAAGTAAATATATATAAAAACTATTATTTTAATTACAATAATCGATATGTTTAAGATATTTTGTTGCCAACTTTGCGTTTAGATATGATAGAAACTATTACATAAATGTACTAAAAGTAGATTAATATGTACTCATATCAATTTTAAGTGTAATTCATAAAATATATAACATTCAGTATTGTGCTTCCATATGTATTAAATGTAGATTATTTATAAAATTACGTGTCTATTTGTCTATGTTAGCTTTTCTATAAAACAAAATCAAATTTGGCTATTTAATTATTCGTACTATTTTGCTTTTAATAGAATGCTTTAATTTTTTTTTAATAAAGTTATAAATATTTTACTATTGGCATTACTTTCAAATATTTTACTACACTATATGAAATTAAATGGTCTGTTTCCGAAATGTATGAATGCATATTTCTATAACATGATTTATTTTTAATTCATCTTATCTGAATAAAACTGGACTTTTTGTATTATGTCATTTTTTTAATGTTACACGAAAAATTATGTAACATTTTTGCCATACAATGTTACAGTAAAGACATGAACGAAAAATATGTTTGTGGCAATTTTAATAACGACTGGTTTTGACATTTTTTGGTTATTAATTGCTTTTAACAACAACATAGGTTTCGGCAACACAGTCAATTTGATGTAATACAGTGGTATATATTATTTATATATAACCTTATTTTAAAAAATATATACTTATTTAGTCCTCAATTATCGACATATCAAAATAATAATAAAAATGAAGATTTGAGTTGTTAATTTTGTGTGCCTAATGTTATGGTAATGTAGTTTTACAAATAAATTTATTTATTTCATTAAATAGTTAATTGAATGAAATGTGTTTCTTATTTTATCATCCATATTAATTTTAGACTTCCAAAAAAGCAAATGCTTAATTCGCGTGCTTTTATTTTTACGATTTTTTTTTAAATATTTAGGTATTCAGCCCCTTTTAACGTTCCATTGCTGGGCATGGGCTTCCCATTAAATACTAGCGGGATCAAGGTCATAATCCATCACGTAGATCATGTGAGAGTTGGCAGACCTCAATCATGTCTTTTGAAAACTTGCTAGGTTTTCTCGCGATGTTTTCCTTCACCCTAATACAAGTGGTAATCATGCAGACAAAAAATTTAAATGTTACGTTTTTCTTATAAGTATCGTATGTAATTCCATATTATGCATTTAGTCAAAAACTCTTATTTTGACTACAAACAGACAATTCAATTTTATTTATTTGTATAGATAAGTATAATTTTATTTAAATCGACTTGTGCCACTGAGACTGACATAACTAGTGAAACATTCACTCATACGAAGTAGAATACGCGAGCTCTGACTTAATCTGCTTCATTTATGATGTATCATGTGACTATTAAATAATCTGTAAACGAAACACATTTCCACTAATCTATACAGTTAATACAATTCAAGCGTCTGTGTGTAATGTCAAAATAACAGCTTTTTACTAAATAAATATGAAATTATATACGGTACTTACTTATAAGAAAAATACATTTTTTTTTAATTTTGTCTGTCTGTTTGCTCCGGCTAATCTCCGAAACGGCTGGACTGATTTTGACGGGACTTTCACTGGCAGCTGAGGTTATAAGGAGTAACCTAAGCTATTTTTATTTTAGAAAAAGAATTAGGGTTCCGCTAAAGAAAGTATATAGTAATATTAATAAAATAGGTAGTGATTTAAAATATATATTTACTAAATGAGCGTAATCTTGGTATACAACTGTGCAAGGATTTTGCCCTTGGGCGAATCCACAACTCAGGAAATCCCCAAGTGCAATAAGATGATCGGTGGAACGTAAAGATTATTCGGTTTTTACACATTTTACACATTTTGAAGTACAACTACTTATCCACCGTGGCTTTACTCGCGTGGCAATTAAAGTGAAATACTAAAAGACAATTTAATTTTATCTTAATAACACAATATCAGTTATTTCTTTCAAATACCCACACACACACACACACACACACACACACACACACACACACACACACACAGAGTTTAACAATTAATTTCATACATCTATACATACTCGTATAATAAAATTGTAACTGACCCGAATCTGTATATTAAATATTTTTTGATAAATCTTATTGAAATAGTCATTATTATACACAAAATCCAAATCTATAGTTTTTAGAATTTTTGTCTGTCTGTCTATCTGTCTGGAAACACATCACAAGAAAATCACTAGATAGATTTTGTTGAAATTTAGTATGATGATAGCTGGTTATCCGGGTCAACAAATAGGGTACTTTTTACGGCGTAAAAATATCTCATCTCTAAGAAATGTATATTAAGCGTTAAAACGTAACATAACGTCAGGGTCAGTTATAAAATAAACTTTAATAGTATCGGTTTTGTGTTTTTAGACATTCTCCTTGCATAAAAAAATAAAAATTAAATACTATTTTATAATACTGTAACATACAATAGGAGCGTGGCGAAGTCCGTGCAGTTCAAGTCCAAGTATCATCAATGGTCACTGAATAAAATAAAAATGTCATTTTCGAAACGTATCTTATCTTGCAAAACAATAATTTTTGTAAATGAATCATCTATTGTAAAGAGCATTTTGAGAGATAAGACTAAAGGGTTTTTTTTGTATTTTTATTAATCTATTTGTTTAGAATTCCGTGGGTAGTTGATAATATTCATAATATCACTGAAAGTCTGCTTCCTTTGATAACTTCGACCATCCCGTTTGTGGCAAAGATTAGTTAAATATAGATGGGTTCTTAAGTAAAATTAATTAATAAAATATGTTGTCTATGATTTTCCGCTAATTTTACATCTGATTCCGCTTATTTATGAGTATATTATACTACTAATAATATAAACTCAAATGTTTATGACTATGTATGTTTTTTACTTTTTCACGATATTACGCAGGGCTAATCTGAAGATTGCCTGAAAATTTCATTAAAATCGCTCTAGCCGTTTTGAAGCCCATAGGAAACATATGTACACACACATTAATTTTTATATACATATAGATGTAAAATATACGCGTAAATCTAAGAAAGTATTAAAATACATAATAATAATCAATTCTTTGTGTACATCATTTATAGATAATAAAATAAAACATAGTCATTGAATGTGTAAGCGCCGTTTTATCAGTTCTTATAATTTGACGCATCTGGCCATCATTTACTCTTTTCATCGCAACTTACTAACGAATATAATATTTTAAAATGTGCCGCGCTCAAAGCAGGTTCTAGTTCTAAATGCCGTGGAAAACAAATTAGTGAATTAAATTTATATTTTGTGTTGTTTTAAATACTTTAAAAATGTTTATTCGGTGTATTTTGTTTTTATTTTTTCTAGGACCTATTACTGCTGGTGAGTTTTATTTTTGTGCTTTTTTTAGGATTTAGTATTTTTAGTGCTTTTTATTTCATAATAATTAATAACGTAGCTTATTATATTATTCCATTAATTTTAAATTATTTCTTATCTTTGTTTTTTATTTTATATGTGAATTCTACTATCAATACTTTTAATATCAACTGGCTGATAAACCTGTCACCCTGTGCCTAAAAATAAAAGCTTAGAAAAAGAAAGGATTTTCTGTTAACGCAACTCTAAGCCACTCAAGAAGAAAAAAAAGAAAGGACTTGGCGGGAAAAATAAAAGTTGTCAATTTGACCAAAGTGTTATATATAAAAAAATCAAACTGTAAGAAAGTTTATATCGAAATAGAGTAATAATTTAAGTTAGCCATCATATAATTTAAATAAAACAATCGAAACACTTATTTTAGTACAATAACAATATTTTTACATATTATTATTTATTTATATAGGTAATCATTTTTTTTAATCAAATCACGCAATACATTTTTAATTTTTTATAAATATATGCAAGTAATACGTTTTTTATTTTTTTTATTTTAGACACAATATATGTCAATTATTTTTTTTACTTTTTAGTTATTTTTTTTTAAATTACTTATAGATTAACGTTAAACAAAAGTGCTAATAAAAAATATTAAATTATGCAATTAAATCAAGAAAATCTTGAAAAAAAAAAGACAGCTTGGTATTGAAATAAGGAAGTCATTAATGGTACTTAATGTATGCGAAATATCAAATTTTAATAGCAGCTGAGTGAGAGAGAAAGAGAAAAAGTAGAGACTATGTATGTAGAGATATCTCGTCTTATGAAATTTAAAATAAAAAAATCTTTACAAATTTAATTTAAGCGAGAAGAGCACCCTCTTCTTTATAATTAATTCCTCAAATTGTTATGTAATATTAGATAATTAATTTTGAAGTCAACATATATAGGTATAAGTATTAGTAGAAACAGAAGTACATATTTCTTTTAATTTTTAGTTACCCTTTGAGAAGTATGATACAATGTTGCATGATACAGAGTTCTCTGTAACTTCACATCTTCACCATTTAGAACTATTATATTAGAATAAATTTTAAAAAGTCCAAAATATCCGAAAATATACAAAATTAGTCGTAATAACAGAAAGAAATTTCAGGCATCTTAATAAAAAAATACATGCTGTAGTTCCACCCTTTGCGAGAACAAAAGAGCAAAGTGACTGCGGTAAAAGTGAATTTACGCATACCACCTGCATACATACGTACAGGTGGTTATGTGGAGGTTCACCGGCTACAAAAGGCAGTACCCATTATTATTATATAAGTATTTAAGAAAAATATGCAAATTAAATCTGCAACCTTCACAATTACACGCAGTGCAAACTATTCTAATTGGAAACGACCAAAACCACTTTAGCTGTTATTAATTATTTTATATCCTACGTACTAGCAAGTTATAATGGTTTTCGTTCGAATGCTTTCTTAGGTGCAATTTGCATTTATAATGTATTATTCTATTATATATTATTAGGTTTATTATATACAGACTGTAATACTGTACGTTCAGATTTCAGTGAAGGACTAACAGACATACACGAACAAACATTCCCAATTATTATATAATATTTTCTTAGATTAAGGCGAATATTTGATATTTTTAACTAAACAATCTTTTCGGATTCTTTCGCGGATTTATCGCTGTCACAAATCACAATATTGATTGTGGGTACCAAAAATTAAAATTAATTTCGTGATAAAATCCGAAATATAATTATTTAAAATAGTAATGTAATTTCTAAAACCTATATATATGAGAGATTTAAAATTCACACGCGTACATATTTGTAGCATAAATATGAAATAAATAAGTTTTATCAGCCGGACGCACGCTCTTGACGGTTTGCCCTCGTGTCGGACTTCCGCGGACTGTGCGTGGGTGGTACCTTTAATGACCTCTATAAGTGGCATCAAATGTAATCAATGGGAATCATTTTAATTTCGCTCTAACATTATATTTCTCAGTGCTTCATCATATTTCGCTTTCCTGAAATTTGGGAATTTTCGTGTATTTTTTTTGCTTTTTTTGGGTATGAATGTATGTATGAGTATGTTTCTATGTATTTATGTCTCCAAAAGTTTTAATAGATTTTCACGCATGAAACCAAACGAAATAATAAATAAATAAATATGTTAGGACATTAACACACAACACCATCTAGTTCCATGGTAAGCTACGAGGCCTGTGTTATGGATGGATACCAGATGGTTGATACACTACACATATATAAACTTTAAATACATACACATATTAAATATAAAAACCCTGACTGCAGTACAAGCATTCGTGCTCATCACACAAATGAATGCCCCCAGCGGCACTCGAACCCGTGAACGCTGGCACAGCAAGTAGGGTCACTACATACTTAGCCAAACGTGTCGTCACAAAACGTATATTTAAACATACATATATTATTATAATGAAACCATAGATTAAAAATTGAAAAATACAGATAAACAGTTGGTTTTTAGTGTTATTTTAATGAGCCCTTTTATTTTTTTCAGAATACCCCTTCCTTTCTTCGTCGGGATCTTGCTCTATACCAAAATTGAATAATGGTAGAGTCAAAGTGCGACAACGATCTCGACTCGTCAGGTTTATGTGCTCTCCTAGATATACTCTAGTTGGTAATAAGTACGCCACATGTAGGAATGGGCAGTGGGACGTGCAAATACCTGTTTGTATAAGTGAGTTTGTGTTAGAAAATTGCCTTAAGTCTTAATTTTTCTACTAATTCACTATTTTTCGCCTTTTATAAAATGATCTTTATATTTTTTTTACATAATCGGCTCTAACATGTGGAGAGTTCTATTTAATGTAAAAAATTACATCAAAGTTAAAGATAGAAGTCGATAATTATGTATGTATGTATATATTAAATATATTAAGAAAAGTGTCCTTATCGTCCTAGAATGATACATATACCGTTTAAAAGATGAATACTGTTGATACGTATATGCGTCATGGTATGCTGTCAATAAGGAAGGTAAAACAAGGTGGCTGTACAAGATTTCCCTGTACAATATACTCTAACCAATTAAATAAAAACATTTTAATCACGCAGATTGTTGATAAGATTAATGTAGCCCATCTACTTTAGATATATAATATCACACCATTTTCCTCTTTAAATTGCTTAGAGTTAGTCACCTTCTTCTATATATTAATATATTATATATTATAAAGAGGTAAAGTTTGTGAGTTTGTGAGATTGTGAGTTTATGACGTTGTAGGGGGTAATCTCTTGATCTACTGAACCGATTTAGATGAAATTTGGTAAGAAGATAGTTTGAGGCCTTGGGAAGGATATAGGATACTTTTTATCCCGGAAATCATCACTTAAGGGAGTGAAAATGGGTATGAAAGTTTGTATGGGGAATCAACCTAGGGACGAACCCGAGCGAAGCGATGGTGAGTCGCTAGTTGATATATAAAAACATAGATACACATTTCCTAACAAATATCTCTTCAAAAAGCGTCGTCGATATGTGACGTTAAGTCAAACCAAAGATTAATTAAAAATCGAAAGTTCTAATTGTCTAAACACAAATTCGAACTTACACACACCACATTAAGTATTTTATGTATACAAAAAAACGTGTGTTTTAATTTCGTCATCCAAAAAGCAATGAACAAAGGAGATTTGAAAAAAGCGCACAATTTCGAATTGTGCGCTTTTATTTGAGGACACTTTTGAGGCGCTAATTGTGTATCTTGAGTTTTTGTATATCAACGGAGTTAGTCCATTTTTGCGTTGTCACGCTCATGTAAAGTGGAGTAAAATTAGATTAATAAAATAAATAATACAACAGAATTTGAAACAGTAATTTTAACCAAAGAGAACTGATAAACTGTTTTTAATACTTTTCTGATGTAGAGCACATATTGTGGGTGGATTGGTAGGATTAGTATTATAAACATCTTATTATAATACAACTTTAGGCTTCAATTACTATCTTGTACACGCTTCATTTATCTCATATTTTAGCTTTAGATTAGAACATCTCCTCAGTCCTTTTTTAACACTTTACAGGTACTGGTTGCCCACCTATACCGCCTGTGAAAAATAGTATACAAATACCAAGTTATGACAATGCTTGGGTCATATTCTTCTGTCTGCCAGGATACAAGCTTAAGGGCTCTGAGTCAATCTACTGTGATGGAAGAAGGTGGAATACTTCAGCTCCTACATGTGTCGGTAAGATTAATGATATGATATGTTGAAAATATTTCATCTAAAAAGCCGCAGTAGCAGCCCGGAGTTAGCAAGTAGACGATGTTTGGCCCCTGTGCCTCGGAAAGTAAGCCGTCGGCTGATACTCAGATCAGGTCAGCTCAAGCCCTGGACGTGTCAATTTTTCGTTCCACCAGGATATGAGAGTATATACGTGCTAAAAAATACTGTTTGTTAAGCTGATATTAAATTTCAACTAAAATCCAACAACTCATTCATTATAATAATTAATAATAGATTAGAATAACATTTTAAGCTTCACGTTTATTAGTTATTTTGCAAACAAAGCAACAATAGAACAGAACAAAAGTTCTAATTTATATATATAATAAAATAATCCATACAGTGGGTAACCTATGATCTCCACGGAAACCCCTCAAAAGCAAGGATTATAAGCAAATACCTATTTTCATAACGTACGGTTTCGAAGACAAACCGATATTTCGATGCAAATTACTATTAAAGCCGTTTCCCGATTGTCATATAAAATTACGTATGGAAGTCGGGAGCGCCTCACCCGCGTCTCACCCCGCATACCCCGCACGGTTACCAAACCTATACCACTGTATTGATAAATAGACTGTAGTTATATAATATGCGGTTTCATATAAAATAAAGTTCAACATCACTATAAGATACATTACTCTGCCTCAGTGGTGTAGTGGCTAGCATGTACGGCTGCACACCCGGAGGTCCTGGGTTCAAGTCCCGGGTCGGGCCTAGTTTAGTTATTGAGTCTTTCTTTATAGTAAGCCTCAGTAACAGCCCAGAGTTGGGAAGTAGGCGATGTATCACCCCCTTGTATCGGAGAGCACGTAATGCCGTCGGTCCTGCGCCTTAACTCTCACTGGTCGTGTCTAAATATATGTCGGAATAGAGAGTGCACGTTGTGTCTGCGCGTACACTTGTGCACTATAATATCTCCTGCGCAGTTGTCTAGTCTCAATGAGATTGGCCGCCGTGACCGGAATCGGTCAGGAGAACATCAAGGTACATTAAAAAATATTCAAACAAGTTCCAAGCAAAAATATCTGCAAATACATCTGGTTAAAAAGTACTCGTAAATGGTGCAATAAATCGTCACTTGACTCTTGATTATATAACTAGCAACTCACCCTCGCTCCGCTCGGATTCATCCCTAATTACGTTCTAACGTTTAGTATAGATTTCTAAAAAGTATAGATTCGGCCTCTCTATCGATAATAATGCCTGTGTCAATAAGATTTTCAAAAAAAAAATTGTAAAGATTCGGCTTAGTTACAATTTTATTATATGTATAGATTGGGAAATACCTTACTCTAAAAAATATGTAGGTTTTACCGATGCATCACTGTTTATGTTAGTTTTATTAAAACACGTTTTTATGTTACGCTTGTCATCTTACATTTACATATTAATTGTTACGTGGAATTGATTCCGTTGCTTATAAACATAGTAAATGTGTGATTGCCTACTGTTCTATTAGTTAGCACGTGCTGCTATAGATCGTGAGATCCTATGTTTGAGTCCTGGGTTGGTGAAAATAGTAAGGTTATTCTATCATAAAAATAGCTTTCTCTGGCAGCTAGGAATATGGGTGGTGTTTCACTCAGGTGTCTCCAAGAGCTGTCGGTACTTCCAGCGCTGGATTTAAACTAGGGGCACTCGGTGCTAGTGCCCAGGGCGATAAATTTATTTTATTGAAACTTTATCCATTTTATGCAAAATTTCGATAATAGGGCGGCATTTCTTACACTTTTTTACTCTACAGCGCTAAAAATAAAGGTTGAATGTGACACTCTCACTGGTCATCTTTAATTGTTTTCCTTATAGAAATTCTTCTGGGCACGCTAGTCTCAGTCAGATTGTCATGATTATTGTCATATCTCGACAATCACGTACATGTAGCTTCATCTTTTTATAGTATTTATAATAAAATCAAACAGATGCCACATGAAAATTTTAGAAACTGCCGTCCTTGTATTACTTACAACCCAAATAATCTCAAAAAATATAAATTGTACAATTTTGAATATATGCACCGATGAATGTTAAAGGTAACATACAAATTGATTTTTGATTTGCAGATTCAAAAGCGAAGCCACAACTTAGCTGCAGTTTCGAAGACCCTGACCTCTGCGGGTGGACCAACTCTGAACTCCACGATTTTGACTGGGAGCGATTGAATGAGGCAACACCAAGCTCGTTTCTTAAGACAGGACCTTCGTATGACCACACTTTCGGAAAAGGCGGATCAGGTATAAATATACTCACTATATATTTAGCCCTTTATAACGTCCCACTGCTGGGCATGGGCCTTCCTTCAATACGAGGGCTAACAGGAAGGCTAGGGAATAACAGATTCCTATAACCTATCTATTTAAATGAAAATAATTATTAGTCGATCCAAAAAAAATTAATTTCATTGAAATGAAAAAAAAGTTCCAAGTTCTTTGAAGTTTTTAGTGATTAAAAAATTGATCATTAGAACTCATTCACCTTTCATCTCATTCATTAGGATAATTTATCTATAGTGCATACATATGAGACCTAGCTAACTAGAAAACCTATTTTTGTTATAGATTAAAAGTTATAATCAAGATTTGTATCGTTTTAGGTTATTATATGTACATTGAAACTACATCAAGATATGAGAACGATGCCGCTCGCCTCATCTCGCCGGTATACGACCGTAGTCTTTTGAAAGACGGATGTTTTTCATTCTTCTACCACATGTATGGCAAGTAAGTATCATGTTCTCCTGACCGATATCAGCCACGGCGGCCAATCTCAATGAGACTTATATAATAAACGAGATATAGATAGTGCACAAGTGTACGCGCAGACACAAGTGCACTCTCTATTCCAGTCACTCTTATACTCCGGTGGGACGACTGCTCGACATAAGGAGTGAGAGATGATGCAGATCTAGGAGCTTTACATGTTCTGCTCGGCATAGCATATAGCATAACATAGCTCTACTAATTTTCCAACTCTGGGCTGCTATTGAGTATTTCGTCTTAGAAAAAGGCAGTAACTGTTTTGGCCTGACCCGTGGCTCGAACCTAGAAAACTATTTATTTTAAATATATATAGCCGCCCTTGATCTAACATATTCATTGTAAAATTAACTAACTCAACCTAACCTAGAACCCTATTTCTTTTTAAATACATATAGCTTCCCTTGATCTATGACCTATTCATTGCAAAATTAATTATCAAAATCGTTTTACAATTGACGGAGGTATTCCGTATTGCATAACAGACATATAAAAACACACATGAATAGAGCGTATCTCACTCCTCCTTTGTGAAGTCGGTTGATAACAGATATTCATAAAGTTGTATATTCCTGGGGTTCCGTACCTGAAGGGTGCAAATGGAACCCTATTACTATGCCTCCGCTGTCCGTCCGTCCGTCTGTCAGAGGGCTGTATCTCATGAACCATAATAGGTAGAGATTTTTACAGAGATGTATTTCTATTACAACTATAACAACAAATAATAAAAAATACAAGAAACATTTTTTTACTGTTCGGAATCGGTCATCGAAGTTAATATACTACATACACAGAATAAAAGCCATATTAATAAAAAGTACAAGTCCGATGGTACGGAACCCCTCGTAAGTGAATTCGACTCGCTTTTGACTGATTGTTTTCTATTTTAGCGCTACCGGTGGTTTAAAAGTGTACATAAAGCCAGATTTCTTAGATTTAGAAAAGCTAACGAAACCAGGCGAGCTAAACAAAAAGTACAATTTGTTCGAAAAATGGGGAAACTTGGGTGATATCTGGTTCAACTCTGTGACTCCGTTGCCGGATGTTGGCGATAATTTTCAGGTATTGTTTGTTATTTATTCAATAAATTTAATATATTTTTTAATTAATTATTTAGTTATAATATAATATATACAATATACGAGAACGTAAATCTTGGTATATTTTGTTTGTATATTTTCAAGTATTCTTGACTTCTTAAAGTAGATCTTTTTCTTCTTTGTTGGATTTCAACGCTATTTTCCATTTTAATGCCATTTTCGTAATTTACGCTATACTCGTATAAATAAATAAACATTTTTCATTCATTAAAATTCACTCCTATTAGACTTTAGCCTTTGAATTTCAGAATAAATAAATAAATACAATGAATAAATATCAATCATACTCAATTTTTTTTTAAATGTAACATCATAATACAGACAGTGATCGCCCAGTGGTAACGCGATCGCTTGAGAAACCGAGTGAAGCGGGTACAAATCCCGGGTCTCGCACCTCTGATATTTTCATGTGCGAATCATTTCTAACATGATTACCACTTGCCTTACGGTGAAGGAAAACATTGTGAGGAAACCTGCATGTCTGAGAGAACTTAGCAAGTTTTCGAAAGACATGTGAAGTCCGCCAACCCGCACTTGATCAGTGTGGTGGACTATGGCCTGATTCCCCTCGTACTGAAGGGAGGCCCGTGCACAGCAGTGGGACGATACAAAGGGCTGTAATTGAATTGCATTTTTTGCGCGGACCCCTAATTCTTTTTCTAATATAAAAGTAACTAAGTTACTCCTTATAGCATCAGCTATCTGCCAGAGAAAATCCCCTCAAAATCGGTCCACTCGTTACGGAGAGTAGCCGGAACAAATAGATATACAAACAATATTTGTAATTATTAATTATATTTTGTAATTCTTATACGTAACGGATATACTAGTACATATTGTATTTAGTAAAAAGCTCTTATTTTGACATTACAAACAGACATTTCAATTTTTTTTATCTGTATAGATTATAGATTCATAATTTAGTTTAAAATCTTTGTTATATAAAACAGATCGTAATAGAAGGTATTCGGGGAAGTAGCTACACTAGCGACATCGCTATCGACGACGTCGCCATACTGCAGGGTACCAACTGCACATCTGCTGAAGTAGCCGCTACTACACCACCTACTATAGATATATGTGAGTAATAGCTATGTAATATATATATATATATATATATATATATATATATATATATATATATATATATATATATATAGTTTTTGGGTTTTTTATTTTAGGTAATTTTATATTTGGATCTGGAAATATTCATATTCAATTATTAAGATCATTAAAATAAAAAAAATGGTTAAAATTTAAATTAACAAATATTGTAAGGTATTTTGATGCCATTTTTCTATTTTTAAATTAATTTTGTAATTTTGTGGGTAGGCACTGTCTGTAACAACTATATATCTAATTACCTTTGGGCTGTGAGACGTCTAAAAAGTCTAAAACCTTTACAACAAACATATTTACGAGAGAGACTAAAATGTTCAGTCTCAAAAGTCGTAGCTATTTCAGGCGTTATTACAGACATACTTAAAGCTATACCTTTAGAATATATGTTTGTTTGGCATTTTAAAAGTTACCTCAGTCTCGTTTCTCGTCACAAATGCTAGTTTTGCAAAGGTCAAAGGTCAAAGGTCATGAAAATCGGTATTTAAAAAAATTTGTAAAGCATGAAACTCTACGTATTAAATCTTACGCAATATTTCATACAATAAATCGTTATTGAGATAGAAAGCGCGAAGAGTGGGGCAATGCTAGGTCAACTGTGTATTCCAATTTATGGTATGTTTTATAAAGTTATTAATTAAAACAAGTATTCGCTGAGTGATCCAAATTCAATCAAAATCATTATTGAAAATTTGAAAAAACATATATAAATAGAATTTACCTATCTTTATATATATAATTCTTCTGTGAGTGTGTATGTCACTGAACTTCTCTCAAACGACTGGACCGATTTTGATTAATTTTTTTGTGTGTGTTCAAGGGGATCTGGGAATGGTTTAGATTCACAATTTGAATAATAATTTTCATCAAAAAAATTATTATAAAAAGTTTGAAATTTTCAAATTAAAGACGTGTAGACAGGACGTCTGTCGGGTCCGCTAGTTTACCTATATAAAATAAAAAAAGTGCGTGTGTGTGTGTGTGTGTATTCACACATGGTAGAATTGAAACTTCAGAAAAGTAATCTACGAGAGAATGAGATGAATATAGAGTATCAGGAGTAGGATAATTATAAGGTTTATTTTTTTATAATATTTTTTACCAAGTTTAAAAGTTATTTTACGTTTCAGTATTCTATCTCATTCTCTCGCCGGCTTGATCCTACATATTTATGTGTTTGTCTCTTTGTCGTGACGTATTTTCGTTTTAAAGAGTTTCAAATCACAATGATTCTAAAGAAATTTCACTTTAATAACTGTTTCCAAAAAATTTTATCGATAGCACTAAAGCTTGTCAATAGCTACTAAGCAAAAAAAAGAGAAAGGTAGGAGAAAAAGGTATTGAACTAATAATACTTTAATACTTTCTTAGATTTACGCGAATATTTGACATTTTAAATAAAACTATCTTTTCGGATTTTGTCGCGGATTTATTTGTATTTCTATACTTCACTACACTATTTTTCATTTGTAAAAGTATATATTAATAGTGTTGCTTAGTAAGTTGTTTTTAAATAATAGCAAACTAAATTAAAATTATTATCCTTAATTAATTTTAACTTTTTAAATTATACATAGAACAATTATATGGCTTAAATAATGAATACTATATTTTATATTTTTCTTTATGGTTATACATATAATAATGGCAACACTAAATATAGATTACTAATTAATATTTTAAAATTGTAATAATTATAAAAATAATAGCAAAAATTAAATAAATAATTTTCCATATTCAATTATAATTAAAATTATAAAAATGTTTAAAGTTAAAAAATATTGTAATGTAATTGGTGCAATTTTCATTTTGTTAATTGTGGGTAGGCTGTCTGTAACAACTATACATTCAAGACATGTAACACCTCAGTCTCTCCCGTGACCATGGATGCTGTAAAGCATTCGAAACGTCGGGAAACAAAAATGCAAATAAATCCGCGACAAAATCCGAAAAGATAGTTTTATTTAAAAGGTATTGAACTGTTTTATCTTTACATATTTATATACATATAGCTATATAATGTATTTAATAAGAAACTTTAATACATAATTATATAATTGGTCCACTACAAAAAGGAATTAGTACTCAATTCCAAAAATAATATATACTATTGTATATGTAAAGCAGTTTCTTCTCTTAGACATCCATATATGTATAGAAATATCAATTGAAGTTCGTTAGTTTCGTTGAAACTCAAAAACGGCTGGACCGATTTGAATAATTCTTTTTTTTTGTTGGGGTGTTAGGGGTGGTTAAGTATAAAAAATATCGAAAACCCTAAAGAAATGGCTGGAAAATCGAATAGTTCAAAATTGTTTATTTTATACCTATGTATATATAAAATATAGTTAATATAATTCCATACTAATCGTTAAACATACCTAGAGACGAACTCGAGCGAAGCAAAGGTATGTCATTAGTATAGTATATTTAATAATTTCAGCGGATTCCTGTGTGGGTCGGTGTCTAACAAACGACACTGTGGGCAGTGTCGGCTGCAGCTGCTCTACGAGTTGTTTCTTAGCGGACAAATGCTGTTTTGACTTCTTCGACATGTGTATTTTTCTACCAGGTAACGATATACATACATATATGTATTATAATTAAAGTCAATTTATTATAAAAATATGTTATAAATAGGCAGTAGTGGCTCAGTGATTGAAAAACCAAGTGTAGCGGGTTCAAACCTCGAGTCATCTTATTTTCAGTATGATTACTACTTGACTTATAGAAATCTGCATGTCTAAGAAGACTTAACTAGTTTTTGATAGACTTGTTAAGTCCGACATGTAGCAAGCACTTCGTCTTTATGTACAATTTTATCTATGAATATTTATTGTTTAACGTCTATTACTTTTACATGTCTTTTTTTTTAACATATTGTGACGAAAACTGTTATTACATATTATTACATAATTATACATTAAAAAGTGAAAAACCCCCTACGCAAATTAATTGTCATTTAAGAATTACACTGGCACGCGTGAAGCACTTAATCGACTAATCATACGCCAAAATGCCTTACATCATTTTTTTTGTGCTGGACCGATATTAACTAAACATAGCTAAGAACCACTGCAAAGAAACTGGCTTTCAAATGAAAAAAAAACCGCATTGAAATCGGCCCATCCGTTTGAGAGCTACGACGCCACAGACAGACACACAAACACACACACAGACAGACAAACAGACATCGACTTCAAACTTATAACACCCCTGTTTTTGCGTCGGGGTTAAAAATAATGTAAAACAAATAAGTGTTTAAGCTCACGTAAATATATTTCAAATTGAGGAGAAACTGCTCTCTGAATAATTTTGGCTTCAAGCCAAAGTGCAGTTTGCTGTTAAGATAAAAGTTGGTTTCAAAGAAAACTACTATTGGCTTGCGACATTTTTACTAAGAAAATCAATAATAACTTCAAATAATTTACAATTTTCGGACTAACTTCATTTGTGTGTATTTTACAGTACACATCAACTATATATGACCTCTTTATATGAGAGAGACTTTACGTTGGGAAATGCATTTACACATATCACCTGCATCCATACAGGTTGTTACGTGGGACTCACCGGCTAGAGAAGCCAGTACTACCCACTAAAACCCAACCGAACCTCCTCCGTATTAATGGGAAGTCGCAGGATCGCTTACGCACTCAAACACAATAGCCCGATATATGAGTGAGACCTGTAGTAACGTTGAATTTAGTCGACTGATTGATATATAACATAGTTATACAACTCACATATACCTTAGATTATATTAGAGTTAGATGTGTTCTTTAAATAATTTAATAATAAAATTAGGATTTGGAAATTTTTGCAAGTGAAAAGTTCAAATTCAAAAGGTTTCATTCAGGTAAATTAAAAACGGAATGGACGTATACAGACATTTATTTCTCTATGTACAGATTAGTGTTGGTCATTTGTCGTGACCTCTAGAAATGCGAAGAAAATGTAATAAGATTCGCCTAGTGGTCAAAATTCTACCATATAATCTATACATATCTATAATAAAATTGTAACTGACCCGAATCTCTATATTAAATATTTTTTGGAAAATCTTATTGAAATAAACTTTATTATCGATACAGAGGCCGAATCTATAGTTTTTAGAATTTTTGTTTGTGTGTCTGTCTGCCTGTCTGTCCATTACAGCATCACAGAAAAACCACTGAAGGGAATTTGATTAAACTTGGTATGGTGATAGCTGGTTATCCGGGTCAACATATAGGATACTTTTTACCGCGGAAAAATATCTCATTTCTGCGAAAAAATACAAAAAACTGCAATGTAAGAGTATACTAATATGTAAAACCTAAGAATTTAGTTTTTGGTCATCTGAACGCGGGCGGAGCCGCGGGTAATGTTAGTAATATAATAAAAATGGGTCTGATAGAAAAAAATATATCATAGTTTCTATTTGAAAAATTGATACCACATAGTACAAAAGTTAAGTTAATGTTATATAAATAATAATATTATTTTAAATATAAGAGAAAATGGCTGGCCAGACTTATATATTTAAACCAAAATAAGAGCGCAATTTGTTAGATAACTTAAGTTGCTCTATCGATTTACTTTAAGTAGGACAGGGTATTTATATAGTTCATAAAATGAGAACAGTGCTGACTATCCTAAAATTTACAGATAGCGCGGGGGAAGCTGCGACCGAATCTGAAATAGTTCCTCAAACTCAAAAACGCATAGCTACCACGCCTGAAACCACCTCAACCTCAACCACGACTTCAACTTCAACAACTACAACAACAACCCCAAAACCGACCACCACTACAACAACTACATCAACAACAACCACCACAACACCACGTACAACAATAAAAACAAGACAAAAAACAACAACCATTAAAACCAACACCAAGTCCACTAGTACTACTACACGAACACCCTCAACTATTAAACCAGTTGCGAAAACAACAAAAGCATCAATAAAAACAACACCTAAAATAACAACAATCCCCACTACAATAAAAACAACAACACAAGCAATAAAAACAACACCTAAAATAACAACAATCCCCACTACAATAAAAACAACAACACAAGCAATAAAAACAAAACCTTATACTACATCTACAACTTCTACGCCAATTCCAACAAAGTCTACAACCAATTTGCCGTACGGAATCTCAAGAACCATAGAAAATCACAACGATTATCACGATATTTTGGAAAAGGCAAGAAAGGAAAAGGAAGTGGAATTAAGAAAAGCTCTTCCTTTACAACCACACGGTGAGTTTTCATCTTTATTTTGGTTTTATTACATATTCATTAATAATCATGTTTAAATTTCAATAGTTAATATAATCAATCAAACAGGATAATTTTTACAAGGAATTATATTATACATTTTTTTGTAAAAAAAAAACAAGAATATACACAAGTTATTGGAAACCTTGCAATGAGAGCTATCGTTTCCGGTGGTAGCAGTTGGCGCCACTGGCAAATAAGGTCCTATCGCTGTCGTTGAAAAGTATTTGTTAGCGCGACAGAGCCAACAAATTTAATATAATAATTATAATTGTTAGCGCGAAATCAGTTCTATTAGGATTTTATATAATTAATCTTACCAAATAAATAATATGTTGTTTTTTCTTAACTCTTCTTTAAAACCAATAAGTATCGTGCCTATCATAATTAATCAGGAATGGAACAATCTTTACAATATTCATGTACATTAGTGAAAATCCGCGATAAAAAGCTCCATTCAGTACCATTTGACATTTCTAGAGACCTCACTCTACCTAGCGCCCCTCGCGGTGAATTCACGCACGGTAGCCCCTAACGGAGGCTCTTAGGTAGAATTACTTGTTATAATTACCTAGTAAATGTTTTGTATTTGTCAAGTTAAATTTTGACTTGAATATTATAATTTAATTAACGAATTTTAATTATTACTTTTCAAATAGAAAAGTACTTCAAAGTCATCCAATAAAGTAAATAATATTATCCGTACTTAGGGGTGAAATTTTCTTGAAATTTTCATTAAAATAAGTTAGTTCCTTGAGCCTTGAAAGGATTTCTTTTTAAAACAAAATGAACATTTAAACAAATAAAAAAAATGATTATTTTTTTAATAATTTTGTAAAATCTTTTACTAACAAATTCATTATACTTATTCACAGATACTCCAAAAGGTGGTGTAAGTGGATGGAAAATACTCTTAATAATAATAAGTATAGTTGCGTGTATGGGGACTGTGTCTTGGCTGGTTTTAGTCGCACGATCGTCGCGCGGCCGCGAGGCCATTTCGCGGCTACGAGGCCATGTCAGCCACGACCCAGAAGTACGGTTTCTATCAACAGACGTTGATGATGATTGAAAAATCATAAAGCCATATTTATATAAAATTTTAAATTTAAAAGAGACGTGATATTTAATAAAATATTTGAATATTCTGTTTCATTTCTCTTACTTATTTGTAAGATGTCACGACCCAAAGATTTAGTGTTTATCAATCATCTATGCTGATTGATAAAAATAACATAGGTTCCTATTTATGTTAATTGTTGTATTATATCATTTATCAATCGATGTTGATGGTAATTGATAATAAAATAAATAGTTTTCTATTTTTATTTGTGTTTTATTTTAAACTAGAATAGGAAAATAATAATATTCCTACTTTGGTTTGATTGGTTTATACCTTACAAGAACATAATATTTTTCAAATTTATCAAAATCGGTGATGATTCTGAAAATTGACTTTTCCACAAAGAAAAACCTTCCTTTTTAATTTTTTTTACTATGATGACTAAATTGATTTAAATTAAATTTCTACTACACTACATATATATATATATATATATATACACATATAGTTGTAGTAAGCTGCAGTAAAAAGTATCCTACCCGATGGGTATGGCAGGAAAATATCTCATCTCTGAGAAATCTATACTAACCTTTAAAACGAACCCGAGCAGTTATCTATATATTCATAGCTATACGTACTGTAATATTAATTAAAACCGCCAAAAATAGCTTACTTAATACAGTTTTAACTTCAAAACTGACTCATCCAAACACCAATGGCATTGCCTTTGTTCGTCACAAAAAAGGTTAGTAAAATTATAAAAACAGCGAAATGTCGCTTTAAGTAACAAAGCGCTGATGTAAGCGCTAATTTATACAATTTTCTTAATGGCAGCACTGTCTCACGTCTGGCAACCTCTAGCGGAAACGCGGGCTAATACAAAACGGTGACCTCGTTTCTAAACATTACCCCGTTTTCACAATGTCACCCGGCATGGGGGCGCAACTTAGGCTGGTAGACTACTGCGCGCGTGAAGATATAATAATATATAGCATTGTCGACGTTGGATAATGATTTGTTTTTGATAATATAGACCTTATTGTATTAAAAAACATGATGTACTTAAAATAAGGTTATTATGAAGTCGTTTTTATTACTATTTAAGTAACTATATTTCAATAGGAATAAAACGTTTTTGAGTTACTTGCGAGACAAATATTAATGTAATATATTTATTTATGCACAATATCTACTTAAATCATTTCTTACTAAACGTACCTAGGGACGAACCCGAGCGAAGCGAGGGTGAGTCGCTAGTACTATATAGATATGTGTTTCACAAAAAAAATACTATTGCTACAAGATATGATATTGCATTATTCAAATACACAAATGTAACATTCCTCTACTTTTTCATTAATAACTTCCAAAAAAATTCCAATTTTGTGAACATATTACGTTAAAAAAGCATTTGTCCTTGACTTTTTATATATCGCGAACAAGCGCTTTTCATCGCTATATATCTATGGATGGATGCCTTTAAACCTTATCATACGCCACTATCGACCCGAAGCCATCGCGGGTGCATGCGCAGAGTATATGCGGACAAACTGACGTTTGCTGGGACCAGTTCGAAAGTAACCGTGTAAACAGACTGATATCGTGAAAATTTGCTATGTTACCACACTGTGTTGAGAACTAAAACAGTAAGTCCTTTATGTTATCTAATTTATTACTTCCATCCACTATTAATTTTATCCGCACTATGAATATTTATAATATATTTGATATTGTTATTTTTGTTAGTTATTTTCCATGTTAATTTTGCAAGAATGTAGAGTTTTATCAGAATTGCCTGTTTGCAATTAAGTGGTTATAAAACCTTTGCGTATCCCAAATTACATAAACGGGTTACGTCATGTAATAAATACGTTATGTTCGTATTATTCAATGGAAGATTCTCTATATATTTCTTAAATGGAATATTTTTTGCACTATCTTTCAAACTCATTTATTATTCAATCTGTTTTATTGTTATGTCCGTGTTTACTTAATCAAGTATAAGCGAAGGTGTTTTGAAATATTTTTAAGGTTTTCAATACATTTAAAGAGATTTTATACTTCAAGGTTATATTAATACGTAGAGTCGACATTATAAATATCATAGAGACTTAACGAAAGGGTTGTTCAGTGTCAATAAAATAATGAATGAGCTATTTCATTTTATGTTAGTTATTCATTATATATATGTATATATGTTAGTTATTCACTATATACAAAATTTGCATCGGTTTTTGGTTATGTTATATGTACCCATCATGTCGGTTACGTGGGTTTACCTTTCAATCTTTTCATCTCTATTTAATATATATATATATATATTATATATATATATATATATATATATATATAATGCATTTAAAGAGCTATTTTATAAGAACATTCAAAAGAAAATTGTCAGTTACATAATATGATAAAAGTTAGGTGAATTAAAAAATATAACTCCATATATATACGGAAAGAGTAAACCGATAAGGTATAGTATAAATTAGCAGTTTCAGCCCATTTAACATTGTTTTATTGCTTTAATGTCTATTGTGTCAACCGGTTTTATCTTATACTTGTTTCCGTAATATTATTCTTTTAGGGATTATTTTCAGGAAGGTTAGATTTAACCCTTTACGTTAAGTAACGATTTGTCAATGAACCATATATAGCCACTTTTGATTTGTATTCAGACCTTTTTAACGTCCCACTACTGGGAGTGGGCCTCCCTTCAGTCATCAGGCCATAGCCCACCGTGCTGGCCAAGTGCGGGTTGGCAGACTTCACATGTCTTTTGAAAACTGGCTAGGTTCTCTCAGATATGCTGGTTTCCTGACGATGTTTTCCTTCACCGTTAAGACAAGTGGTAATCATGTTGGAAATGATTCGCATATGAAAATATCAGAGGAGCGAGACCCGGGATTTGAACTCGCTTCACTCGGTTTCCCAAGCGAGCGCGCTACCACTGGGCTACCACTGCCTTTTGATTTATTTTAACTTGGATGTATTTACATATATGTATGGATCATTAGTGAAGAATCGATTGCATTGCATCTAAACTTCTTAATAATATGTAACATACTGATTACTGCTAGGTGGCTCGCTTTTATTTTACTTTAGTTTACAGTTATTTTGTATGTCTTAAATCGAACTGTCTGATACTTTTTTTAGATTGACGCGAATATTTAACATCTTCTTCTTCTCTTATAAATAAAAATGATTGTTCATATGTTTGTCCTCTATGCACTCCTAAACCATTGATCCGATTGTGATGAAACTTTGATGGGTTATCCTGTATACGCCTATAAAGGTTCCTAGTGAAAAAAAAAGATTTTTTTCTTCGGACATTTGTCTTTTATGCGTTCCTAAATCAATAAATCTTGAACAAGGGACGTATCCGAGTGAAGCAAGGGAAAGTCGCTAGTTTAAAATAAAACTATCTTAATATTTTAAACTATTATAGATTATATTTATTGTAGATATCAACGGATTTTTTCGCAAATTTATTCAGTTTTTGGGTCTCATTACCATATTTGCTGTAGCATTCGAAACGTCGGAAACCAAGAACCAAATAAATATCCGTGAAAAAGCTCAAAAATATTGTTTAAGAAAGTATCAGATTTTATCTTTCAATAAGTTATCTCTACAGTAAAAAAGTCCTAACGATTTCAATGCACTTCATTTGTATGGCGTATGACATTGAACAGAAAGTTAGCTAACATGGAATTTATACGAGTTTCACATCTTGTTGTTGATATGACAAGTGTTCATTATTAGTTTCGAAGATATCTGATATCTTGTAAAGATGAGGACGTATCACGTAGATATTAGATATGATGATGATGTTCTCCTAGCCGAATCCGGCCACGGCGGCCAATCTCATTGAGACTAGCCAACTGCGCAGAAGATATTATAGTGCATAAGTGCACTCTCTATTCCTGTCACTCTCATACTCCGGTGGGATGACTGCTTGACACGACCAGTGAGAGTTAAGGCGCAGGAACGACGGCTTTACGTGCTCTCCGAGGCACGGGGGTGAAACACCGCCAACTTCCCAACTCCGGGCTGGTACTGAGACTTACGATACAAAAAGACTCAATAACTAAACTTGGCCCGACCCGGGACTCGAACCCAGGCCCTCCGAGTGTGCAGCCGTACATGCTAGCCACTACACCACCGAGGCAGTTAAGATATTAGATATATGTACGTAAATATATATAATTCATATAAATATCGTGTGGAAAAGGCTTGTAATTAGGAAACTATCTCGCTGACCTAATAGCTAGCATGTCCAGCCACAGATTCGGAGGTTGAATCCTTAGATCGGACCAAGTTATTGAGTTTTTCTGTCAAAAAATTCTTAGTAGCAGCTCAGATTTTGAAAGTTGGCAGTGTTTAACTTTACCTGGAGGGCACGTAAAGCCTGCTGCTGCTTTAATTTAAATAAAAGCAAACTAAATAAGCAATATTAACATAAAATAACAACAATTTATTGCCTTTGAGGCGTTTAAAACCTTAGTCTTTCCCGTGACCATAATGTTAAATCATTCAAAACGTCAGGAACCAAAAATCTGAATAAATCTACGAAAAAATCCGAAAAGATAGTTTTATTTAAAATGAAATGAAACTATCTAGGGAGAGACTCCTGTGACCTCCATATTAGTTATAATGCATTTGAAATATCGGGAATATAAATAGAAAAGGAAATCGTGACAAAATCAGAAAAAAATCATTTAAAGCAACTTCTCCTTTTTGAAATCGAACACAAGGTAGCCCTTAGCTGTATGGTAGTTTTGAATATAATTGATCCGATGAGGCTGCTCGATTCCATCGCCTTAATAGGGTGTAGTTCAGTGAAGAATCCTTGGGTCTATCGTTCAAAAGCTTTTATGTTCCCAACAAGGAAGGATGATCTCAAGTAACCTATTTGATTTTGAAATTTAGTTAACAGAGAAAGGCAAATGTGAATGAGTTTCTGTACTTTAATTTATTTTTGTACTAGCATTGCCCGCGGCTCCGACCGCGTTCAGATGACCAAAAACCAAATTCTTAGGCTTTACATATTAGTATACTCTTACATTGCAGTTATTGTATTTTTCCTTAAAAATAAGATATGTTCCCGCGGTAAAAAGTATCCTATATGTTGTCCCGGACAACCAGCTACCATCATACAAAATTTTATCAAAATCCCTTCAGTGGTTTTTCCGTGGTGCGGTAACAGACAAACAGACAGACAGACAAAAATTCTAAAAACTATAGATTCGGCCTCTGTATCGATAATAATGTCTATTTCAATAAGATTTTCCAAAAAATATTTCATGTACAGATTCTGCTTGGTTTCAATTTTACTATATGTATAGATATAAAGTATTCTAATAAAAAGCTTTGATTTTTAAAAAAGCTCTTTAAGTTCTTAATTTTTTTTCTTTCCAAGATAGAGCTTTAATGTATAGATTTTTTGCATTTAAAAGTGTTCCTAAAATAACAATATAATTTTTTTTGTAGCTTTTTAGATTTTCCATTTTTTTTTTGGACCTCAAGATTTGTATTCATTTGTAATTACTTACTCTTTCGTTCTACTACTGTACTTTATAAACTATGGTTTATATAAATAATAAGTTCGTTTTAAACACCGCAATCGTTAACTATTATCTTTGGTGACGGTCTCGTTCTTGTATTGGTCGCATAGTGCGCTATATCTGGATATTCACTCACATATTGGTATGTGGTGTGTGTTTGTTTTTTTTGTTTTCATCAGTGAATTTTTGAATTTAGATGAAATTCGGAACACCGATATACTATAATATAAACTAACATATGGGCTTCTGTTAGGTACCTAGAGCGCACAGGAGCGAAGCGTTTAGTTGCTAGTTAAATGTAAAAAAATAGCCATTATCGCGGTCGTCTAATGTGCAAAGGTATCAAGTAAAGTAGGTATGGCATTTGGAGTTTAAGTTTTCTCTATCCTATGGAGCTTAAGTAAGACATCACTCTACAATCGTTAAAAACTAAAAATTAAAAAATTGTATTGAAATTACAAAGATAATTGATATTTCATCTATCTACATAGGTACATATATAAAAATCGATATATATATTTCTGTTCCCTATGGACTCCAAAACGGTTGGAGAGGTTTTGATGAAATTTTATCGAAAGTTTGAACCCGGGCGAAGCCGCGGGCACTGCTAGTACACTCAATAAATATCATTCCCATATTTTTTTAGGTTTTATTCCTTAACTTGTGACTCACCCTCGTTTCGCTCGCGTTCGTCCCTACTTACGTTTTAACGTTTAGTATCGATTTCTCAGAGATGATATATTTTCCCGATGTAAAAAGTATCCTATATGTTGACCCGGATAACTAGCTATCATCATACCAAATTTCATCAAAATCCCTCCAGTATTTTTTTACAGATTCGGCCTCTGTATCGATAATAATGTCTATTTTAATAAGATTTTCCAAAAAAATATTTAATGTACAGTTTCGGCTTAGTTACAATTTTATAATATGTATAGACGAATGTACCATGACACCTTTTTCATGCCTACATATTTTAGCAGTGATATATTATTGTACTTACGTGTTAAATTTTTCAAAACAATTTAAATCAGGCAAGAACGCCTATTTTTACCAAATAAATTATAAATTTTATTGCACGA